AATGGAATTTTAGAGTTCTTTTGGAGAACTCAGAAATGTATTCATAATCTATATATATAAAAAGCCAGCGACCGTAACAACTGTAACGACCGGTTGCTATGATGCCCACTGTGGCCAGTGAACCGGCCTGATCAGGGGGTGGGACCAGCCGGCCAACCTCGCGGCCCCTTCCCCCTGCCGGCCCACCCCTGATTGGACTCTCTCAACCCAATCAAGAGGAGGCCGGCCAGCCAAACGCCCCCTCCCTTTCCCCTGCCCTCGATCAGCCCGCCCCACCACAATAGGCCCACAGCCCCGCCCCTGATCGCACCCCCCACCCCAATAGGGGGCAGGGCTGGCCGGCCAATCTCCTGCAGCCCCTCCCGTCAGGTTGCACTCCAGATCGGCCCTCCCCCCCTGCCCCCCGATCAGGGGCAGGGTCAGCTGGCCAACCACCCATGGCCCCTCCCCCCCAGCCGCTGGACCACCCCAGATCACCTCCCCACCCAAGATCACCTCCCCACCCCAATCAGGGGCAGGGACAGCAGCCAACCACCCATGGCCCCTCCCCCAGGCCACTGGCCCCCAATCGGCACCCCTAACCCCATTTGGGGGCGGGGCCAGCTGGCACACCACCCACAGCCTCTCCCCATGGCCAACCCCACCCTCAATCAGCCCCCCAGCCCAAATCGGGGGTGGGACCCACGGGCCAATCACCCTCAGCCCCTTCCCCCAGCCGGCCCGGCCCTGATTGGCCCTGATTGGGGCGGGCCAGCTGACCAACCTCCCGCCATCTCCTCCTCCCAACAGGCCCGGCCCCAATCCACCCTGACTGGGGCCGGGCCTGCCGGACCCCACCCATGCACGAATTCATGCACTGGGTCTCTAGTAGGTACATAAAAGCAACATGAAAGAAAAAGTCATGCTACGTCACATTGCTGAACTAGAAACAATAGTTACAGGGTTATAATAAAGCAAACACTAAATAGTAACAACTAAAAATTGTTGTTAGAATGAGAAGAAGGGAAGAGAGTGTGTAGGTGGGATGTCATTATTTTTCATGATAAGAAGTTACTTGATAGTGCCTAAAACTCAAAAATCAAGAAATGTAAGTATGAGAACAATCCTTAGAAATTAGGATTCTTAAAAATAGAAGCAACAGCCTGGCTGGTGTGGCTCAGTGGTTGAGTGTTGACTTATGAACCAGGAGGTCAATGTTTGATTCCTGGTGAGGGCACATGCCCGGGTTGCTGCCTTGGTCCCCAGTAGGGGGTGTGCAGAAGGCAGCTGATCAATGACTTTTATCAATGACTTTTTATCTCTCTCTTCTTCTCCTCTCTGAAATCAATAAAAATATATTTTAAAAAATAGAGGCAACAACTATAAGAATTGAAAGCAGTTTCCTCTAAGGAACAAAAATTAGTGAGAAGCAAGGTAGAGAAAGGGATTACTGTTTTTCATCTTGAATCTTTTATATCTCTGACTTCTTAAATTATGTACCCTGAAAAAAATCAGTTCCATGTTCATTATACCTTTGGATGGTCAGCTGAAATTAAAAATTTTAGAAAGGGTCAAATGTGCCACAGTGGTAATACTCCAGACAATACAAACTAAATACTCCCTAAAAACTTAATTATACTGACATTTTAATTATAATTATAGACCAAATTTTGAATTTGTTTGGCTGCCTAGAGCACCAGAGTCACCTGAAAGATGGTAAACTTTCATTTTGCTCCATCTTGATTTGTCCTTTGGAGTATATATGCCCTGTAAATTAAATCCCTTTGGGTCATAATTTTATTCTTGCCAACCACTTTGTGATTTTGGCTAAAATATGGGAGCATCAGCTACTTGATCTTATGGTTGTGCTACTAGAAGAGAGAGAGCTAAGGACAGGACAAAGTTATTAGAGTATAAGAGTAATAGAGTTACACTCTCCACTTAGACTTTGTTAGCTAATATCAGCCCTGAGATAGATACCACTTACTCCTTCTGTGCCTCCCATTTAGAAGACATGTTAGTAAAAGAGTAATGAAAGGAATAAGAGCTTAGCCATTTAGATCAATTTGATAGAAAAAGGCAAGAAGCCAGGTTGCATTGTTAAGAAAATCTTCAATTTTCTGAGAGTGGCCTCTTTTGTCCCCAATTCTTTGTAGCATTGGCAGGTGATGTCTTGGTCCCATTTTTTGTTATATTGTTGTGGGGTTTTTTTTCACTGGCATCTAATAATGCACAGACCTGCTGTGTACTTCCAGTTTTACATGAGTCTTGCTTTCAAAGTATCTGAGTTCGTGTATATATGGTGCCTTGTATGAAGATTGTTTCATTAGAGCAGCCATCTAGGTCTTCATGGTATTGGAGGTTCTCTGGGCCTCACTACAGAGGAAGATGTAATAAAAAATCCATGTGTTTTCATGGATTACTTTAGACCACTCTGTAAATCGTGTTTGTGCAATAATTGCAAAAACTAATATTGACACAACAATCTTTGCTTTATTCTCTATAAGATGCCACAATGCTTAGCATAAGTTTTCACAGATTTGTAGGATAAATCAACATGAGCCAGGGAAGTAAGACTCTAGGCAAGGAACCCTGCTTCAATTATTTAAACCTTCTTTAATAATATTAAAAAACCCTCAGGCCCTACTACATATTTTTTTAGTTTTTAATATCACTTCTTGAACATTTTACTGAAACATAATGTGCATACAGAAAAGAGCACATATCCTAAGAGAACTGAGCACTCCTGTGTGTGTAAGCAGCACCCAGTTAATGAATCAGAATATGACCTTTCTGTACCCTTTCTCAATCACTGTCCCCAAGGGTAACCACTGTGCTGCCTTTTACAATTTGTTTCCCCTGAGCAGTTTTAGGTTTTGTACTTTATGAAATTGGAATCACACAGCATGTACTCTTTTGTGTCTTGTTTCTCTCACTCACATTATTCATGTAAAGTTCATCCATATTCTTGAATGTAGTGGTAGAGTACTCTAGCTGTGTACTATTCCATTATGTTAATATTCACAACGTATCTATTTATTCTACTGTTGATAGGTGTTTGAGCAGGTTTATGAAGTTTCATGTTGTTTTCAGCATGATAGCACATATATTTCAATGAACATATATAAACATATCTATTGAGTATATATGAAGAAGTGTGTAGCTATGTCAGAGAGTCTGCATGTATTCGGCTTTGCTAGATAATAGCCAGACAACTTTCCAAAGTAGTTGTGTTGATTTTTAACTTTTTATTCAGCACACATTGCTTTAATGATACTCAGGAAAAGGAATATTATTAGATAACTGTTTTCTTCATTGTAGGTTTCACAATCATGAGTGGTGGTTATATAGTAGGAATATGACTTGTTTAAACAAATCTATACTAATAAAAGAGTAATATGCTAATTAGACCAGACATCCTTCTGGACAAAGCCACAGTGGCGGGGGCCAAGGCAGAGATGGGTAGGGGCAATCAGGCCAGCAGGGGAGGGCAGGGAGGGGCAATCAGGCCAGCAGGGGAGGGCAGGGAGGGGCAATCAGGCCAGCAGGGGAGGGCAGGGAGGGGCAATCAGGCCAGCAGGGGAGGGCAGGTAGGGGGTGACCAGGCTGGCAGGGAGCAGTTAGGAGGTGATCAAGCTGGCAGGGAGCAGGTAGGGGCGATCAGGCTGGCAGGCAGGCAAGTGGTTAGGAGCCAATGCTTTCGGATTGGGAGAGGGATCCCAGACTGGAGAGGGTGCAGACTGGGCTGAAGGACCCCCCCCCATGCAAGAATTTCGTGCACCAGGCCTCTAGTTTGCTACATAAAATAGAATGCTTTGATTTATGAATTACAATGAAAAAATTTTCTCTCAGGATTTTTGAGTCAACACTTGGTCATTAGAAACGTTTTCAGATTTATTACAAAGGAAGAAATTTGCCAAAATCTATATGAACAGTAAGTTCAGGCAATGGACAGTTTCAGAGGGAAGCTTTTCCAACAATCATGAAGCAGTCAGCAAAGGACAGTGAGGGATTCTAAAAGCAGGAGCCAGTCACCGGAGATAATGTCAACCCTACCAACCTTGTGTAAACATCTTATTTTATCTGAGCCTTTATTTTCTTATCTTTAAAATGGGGGTCTTAATTCATACTTGGTGAGGATTTTACATGGAAATACTTCATATTATATATGTCAGGTATAATTATATCAGGATGGGGAACATCTAGCCCACAGGCCATATGAAGCCCACGAAATCATTTGATCTGGCCCTGCCAAGGCATTAGGGGTGAGTTAATTAAATGTTTCATCAAATATAGCAGGCTAACTTTTAAGTTGATAATTTTGTATGGCCTGTGAACGATGGTATAGATATCCAAGTGGCCCTTGGCAGAAAAAAGGTTCCCCACCCCTGAATTATATGAAGTAGACAGAGTTATGTTTATATCAAGGAGCTGCAAACGTATTCTTAGACCATGACATTAAATCCTTAAGTGCCTTCCAGTTATATTCCTAGAGAATACATTTTCCTCTATCTTGTTTAGCACTGTCTTCATTTGTAGCATTATAAGTGTTGCACAGTTCAACTTCATGAAATTTCACTAAATCATTAACATACTCTGGTGATCATTAATTTACTACCCAGTTTACTAGTTGCATTGTGAGTTTCTAGTAGTCGTTTTCCTCCATCTTATCAAGTAGTGACTAAAGATGTGCAGTTGGGTCCTGCAATGCATGTTCACGCTTGGGTAGATTAACTCAGATAATGTCATAGTTTTCCCTAACTGATTCAAAAATTACTTCATGTTAGACTTCTTAGTATGTTTGTTCTTTGGTGTGAGTTGTTTTGAAAAGCAATTCTACTTATGTGGCATAATATGTTTAATAGCCAGCTGAAAATGCCAAACAAGTCGTCACCCCTTTGGGTATTTTTCAGGGCTAAAAATTCTTCATGTGTATTAACTTAATAATAGCCCTTTATTTCATTCTATCTTCTTCTCTCTTTTCTTTTTCTTTTTTATGTCCCCACGTATATTGCATGCAGTGTGTTTGGCGTAGTTATGCAGCTGATGAAAAATCTGTTTCCATTGCAACCTGGAAGCCGCATTTGAAGGCCCTGCACACCTGCAGCCCCACCAAGTAGGTATCAGTGTGACAGCTGGTGCTGTAGTCGAGTCTCTTCAAATTTTCAAAACAAACCATACACATACACACACACACACACACACACACACACACACACACACACACGCACAGTGTCAATTTGGATCTTGTCTTATTCTCTGCTTCTCTTTCAAACCCTTTTAGTAGCAACTCAGGCACAAAACTCAATTGACCCAGTATCATTCCTCACCATCCATTGATGGGGTTTAAAGATTAAAAGAATTTAAACTTTATAGAGATTTATTTCTACTATTTCATGATACTATTTTCTAATATCTCATTTCATAAAACCCACCAGAATTCTAAAGGTAAGCACCACTATTTTTGAAAAATAATGGTTGTTTAAACTCCATCCATCACCTGACCCCAAACAGGGAGTGCTTTGAAAGCAATATATCTTGGCACATTGAAGTTCCTCAAAGTCATTTCTCATTTAGATCCCCTTGGCTCTCCAGCTTTTACCTGCAGATCAAACTAACATTAATAGCAAAATAAGAGAAAAGTTGGAATCCTAATAGGATTACAGTTTACAGTGAAGCAATGGGACCAAACAAATTAAAATTTGAAATTAGCATTCAAAATTTTAAAGTAATATTACTTACATTCACATTTCATTGGCCAAAGCAAAGCTTCAAGAGGACAGGGAGTGCAGTCCTACCACGTGCCTGGAAAGAGAGGAGAACCAGAAAAGTTATGAACAGTCCTGATGGTTACCACAGTGAAGTTTAATTTTCAAAAACAATCTTTAGTCCTGGAATCCTGGACTCCAGTTCCACTGGCAGAGCACATATTAAAGCATAATCACCATCTAATTAAAGAACTCTTCATTGAAATAACCAAAGTACGTAAGTCAAGGGAAAGGCTTTCTGTGAGTCACCCAGCTTGGTTACAGCGGTCAGTTCCTCAGATTGTTCAAACATTATCAGATTGCTTATCTGAGCTAGGATTTTAGAGCGTCAGCCATTTCCCTTCATAATCCAACGAAACCTTCACCTTAGTGGCTTCATAGGATTCAAGGCATCTAACTACTATGACTCGGAAACTTCTTTCTTACTGATGTGAGAGAGAAATGGGCTGAGGAAGCCTTCATGAGGTGTTCCCTGGAATTGAAGTCTCAAAAGGACATTTGTGATGCAGCAGAATACACACTGTGGAGGGCGGCAGATCCATCAGTAACTGACAGGATCTGCCGTATGGCTTCCCTGTCCTGCCCTGGGCTTCAGTGTTCCCATCCACAAAGTGAAGGGCAAGAGCTGGGCAGGATAACTTCCGAGCTCTCATGGGGCATGTCTCCTAAAAGTTGGTATCAGAACTCTGCCAGCACCTGTGACAGAGATAGTCATAGAACGCCAGGATTTTAAAAGGGATGGGACCTTAGCAAGGACAGAAGCATGGATGCCGTTGAGTGAATGTGTGGATGAGACTCCTCTTCATTTAGATCGTAAAATGTAGTTAAATGCCCTTTATTGACTATTGGACTCTTTCAAAGTTGTAGTAGGGAAGAAAAAAGGAATATAACTCTTGTGCTGTCTATTCCTTGGGGGTATGAATCAAAACTGGGAATTACATAAAAATTGTATGTCTTTTCTTCATAAATGTATAAGAGGAAGGCCTGCAGAGAAACCAAAAGACGGTTCTCAGGTGACCGAAGAGAGTGGTCTGTCACCACATGTGATATATTGGCTTTCCCCTTCCACAGTTTTTGGAAGAAAACTCATTCTGAAGCCTGGAAAAACTTTAATAATGAGTCAGACTCTTCCAATGCATAAACTTATTTTACTCATATAATTTCTTCTTCTCCTTTGATATTTTTCCTGTTTTAAGTGGGGACAGGGTAGAGGAGAATTTATGCGAACACCTGCATTTATCTTGTTCCACTGTGACTATCAACCACCTCTCACTCCCCTTCCCTGCACTCCCTCACTCACCCCAGAGACTCAGCCCCATTTACTGAATAACAGGGATTTGTCCAGAATGACACCGCAGTCACTGGCCAAGTTCATGGGATCCTGGGTGTGCTAACATCTCTCCCACCAGCCGTGCTTCGTTGTTCTAAACTGTAGTGGTTCTTAATCTTTGTTGTTGTCAGTTTTCTTTGTTAAATTGCTGAGAATGGGATGGTAATTATGGACTCTTTCCCAAGAAACATGTTTACTGCATAAAAAATTAAAACTTTGCCTACAATTTTAATGTAGTCATAAACTCCCTGAAGCCAAGTTCAGAATCTCTGTTTTAGAAAGCAAACCTGCTTTAATCAAGTGTGTGGGTTTGTGAGGTAAATAATTTACAGTGACTTCGAGAGATATTTTTACATTTATAAAACCAAGTGTCTTATGAGCACAAAGTGATATGTAGTAAGAAACAAACCAAAACTTCTTTCTATTTACATAGTGTATTTCCCCATAACATTTAGGGCTTAAAAACTTCCCAAGGGAGAGATCATTCATTCATGCATGCATTCATTCAACAAGGATTCATTGAGTACCTATTATGTGCAAGGCACTGTTCCAGGCACTAGGAAAGAGAAAAACAAAAACAAACCAGTTAGAATCTCGGACCTTGGGGAATATAGTATATTCAAGGGTTGCTGGGAAGAGACAATAAAAATAAATAAGTAAAATATTTACTAGATCAGAGGGTGGTGAGTGCTAAAGAGAAAAGTAGAATAGGGAAGGAATTTAAGAAGCATTAGGGGCTGCAGTTTTAAATAGGTGGTCAGCAAAGTGATCATATTACCAATAGCATTATCATCTTCTTCATCTTCTTCATCATCATTAAAAAACCAACCATGCTCTTGTTCCCCACAGTTTAGAGATACATTGACTCCACCACCTCTTCTAAGGAGTAATATAGGAGAGAGGAGTGAGAACTGTGTGGGGGAGAGAGGGGCGGGGTGAGGGGCATGCCATACCCACTCAAACCTGCCAAGGACACACCAGCAATTTCTTACTCTCCTCTCTGGTCTGGCTTGTCTCTTACATTTCCTTTAAGGTCTCCACAATTGCTACTTTAAATTTTTGTTTTAATAACAAAAGGATTCATAAAGGGAACATATTTGTCTTGATTTTCTTCTCAAAGGGAATGAAGGCTATGCAAAGGGTGAAACATTGGTAAACGTGTTATTTTAGGGAATGAGTCGCATATTTTATGAAGCTATAGGGAATTATCAAGTGCACGGTTGCCCAGTGGTATCTTAAGAAGTCAGAATTTAGATATTATCTAATCCAATGCCTTCAATTTATTCATAAGAAAATCAAGACCCACAGGAAAGTGAGGTGTCCACCCAAGGACAATGGGTCATTTGCACCATGTTGTATAGACCTGGGTTTGCTAAATTCGGTAATTAAGAACACCTCCCAACACTAGGCTGGAAGAGTTCTAACAGATTCCTATGTGCCTACTAGGCTCCAAGGGACTTCATACTTTATACAATAGGAAAACAGCATCTGCCTCAACAAGTGGCTGAGGTACATAAGCCACACATTCATGAATCCAGATTAAGAACCCAAATGCCTGTCTAAAGCTCAGGGACTACAGCTACAGTGTGACCTGCACTGTTTTAAGAGTCTCTGCTAAAGCTGATCGGATCAGAACCACTTTTCTTTAGCCATGGATAACTCTGGCTGTGGAAGTGTCCACAGTTTTTCATTACATGTAGGCAGTATTGTTTTTGCTAAGTAGATGCTATGCTATCTCTGGTCTGTGCCACAAAGAATATATGTTAAAAAAAAAAACCAGATACATTTATTATTTTTAAAATGGCTTCCGTGAATCTTGCTTGAAATGAATTACTTAAGGTACTTATGTCCCCCAACCCCCAATTGGGCCATTTTCAAGTGCTGTAAATGTATTCACCAGTTTATCATCATTTCTCTTCTGTCCGCACGCACCTGAAGGAAAGAACAAGGGGAAGCATCAAGCAGGTTTGTGATCTTTTCTGCTACATGTTTGTTTATAAATCTGTGCCTAACAGATGTTTTAAATGTGTCTCATGAGTAAAATCGATCCACAAATACAAAGTGATTAAAAGTGGCCTTTCCCAGGATTGCCTGCAGAGGTTGCTGTGTTATTGATTCCCCGCTCCCCTTGGGAGCATAAGTGCCTTTCCCTAACCCACTCACTGCTTTTCACAATCTGCAGAGCGTGCAACATTCGGGGGGAAATAATCATTATAGTCTTTGGTTATTCCTTGCTACCATTTTCCCAGACAGAAGTCTCACCCAAGTATTTAAACCCCAAGAAGCAGTATAAGATACACTCCCTTCATCAGGGACCTTCTTTTAGAGTGAGACATTGGGCTTGGTTGGTTGTTTTGTGGGGTTTTTTTATTTTTTGGCAAAAGGAACACTGTGTACAGGAGGTGAGAATGGTCTCTGTGCGGCATCTCCAGCTCACTGAGTTCTGAGGTTTACTTAGGTGACCTGATTCAAAAGAAGAGCCCCCACTCCCATTCTTTAAAAAGAAGATAACCCTCCCAGAAACTTAACCAAATAATTTAGGATCATTCTTTTATGCCTTAGAAGGGAATGCTTCATCAAACAGCAGAGATTTAGACCTAGAGGGAATAGGACGTGAAGGGCATCATTTTAATTGGTATTAGTGAGTACCAGCAAGGACCCCGAGGATCTGGGTCTGGGAGCAAAGCCCTGGAGGACAGAGCCAGGTGATGGCGTGAGATGTAGCAGAGGCAGGACCAGCAGGAGAATCCCAGGTGCCTGGGAGGGAAGAAGGGACACAAGTCTTTTTTCCCGTTACTGCCACTTGCTTCAGTAATGAGGCCACAAAGGCGTCTCCTGCCCAGAGTTAGCCCCCAGGTGGGGGGTCAGTGCGGGTCCAGGAATTGTTCCTTTAGCTTCATTATTCGAGCGGCATTAATCATAATATACTTACTGAACTGTATACAGCACTGAAACTAGTGTTGAAAGTTCACTTGGGGTGATGAGGTTCTGGGTCACCCATTTCTGCATTACATCAACGAGATTCACAAATCAAATCACAAATGGGTTCATTTATGATGGCAATAGATGTGGCAGGTATGCCTACACAGGGGAGGCCACTAAAGACCCTTCTCTTATTTGGTAGGAATAGAGTTAGAGCAGACTCCACCATCCTTGTGTTGTGACAAATTTACTTGAAAAAAAGTTACACAGAATTAAACATTGTAAGCTGTTTAGTATCTTTGGTGATATTTTAAAAGCTTTCCTTGTCTCAGGAGTTAGCCATTTACAAGTTATCTCAAAGAGTGATTTGTCTCCAAATGCTAAGGTCAGATACCATCTTTGGCACAAACCTGATAGCCACCTGAGAGTAAGGTCACCTGTCTTGGTTTCATTCTCCAAAACAGAGCTGTTGGCACCTAAAGGGGGAGTTTGCAACCTCTATGGCAGTCCTAAGTGAGGGGTCACCTTGGGCTCACATGGTAATATTGCTCTTGTTCCAAATGTTAGCAAGGCAGAAAGCAGAGACAGGGTTAAAAGGTAACTATCGAACATCTTCATTGTGATGGCACACTAGCCTGGAGAAACACATTTATATGAAAATTCCAGCACACTCATTCCATTAAATTACTCAGAATTGTGTGTGTTTTTTAAGTAACTATTGAGCTTCAGCCCCTCAGTCAAAAAATGAACTTCGTAGTCAGCTGTCAAAAATCTACCAACCAAGCTTTTTCAATTTCATGATGCTCATATGTACCTGAAACATTAAAATTTTTCTGCATACTCATGTCTGAGATTATCAAGGGTAACTCACTTGAGGATCTGAATATATACAGAACAACTGAGCTAAGTTATTGACTTAGAAAATCTCACACTGGGAGTTCTTGCTTCTCTGTGGTCATTGGACATTTGGCAAAACCACCTCGAAACACGCCATGCGCGTGTTACTATTTAGCATGCATGCCTTACTTACTGTTCAGACACTTAGGTATTCTATCTGCCAAACATATATCACATCACCCTGTGTAAAGCTCTGACAGAGAATGTGCTTTGTCAGTAATTCTTGGATAGTGTAATAAAATGTCTCTGATCTCAAGTAGTTTATGCAAAAAGAGAAAACGGCAACAAAAATGGGGGGAAAGGAGAAACATAAAGAGAGAATAACTGAAAAACATTTCAATAATCTGAAGGGAAGAAGCTGAAGCTCCCATTTTACTATCACCTTAGCTTTCACCTTGGCAATGAAATTTATAACATTGCATAATAAATGTAGAAAGACTATTGTAATAACAATGGCAACAGTACCATCTTAGGAAATAACAAATTGGTCCTTTCTCAACCAAAATATGCACAAAGGAAAATGCATTTATAATGAGAATTCTCCCTCAGCAGAAAGCAGATCTGGGTCCAGAATATTGTTGATTAATGCTTGGCCCAGTTTTAATTGGAATGATGAATACAGCCCACATGGAGAGCACTTGACAGATTGGGGCTATTGGGTTATTGATGGTGGTTCAGATAAGCAAAATAAATACCCTTTAGCCAACTCGCCAGGTATCTCAGAGCCTGTGATCCCCTAAATCCTTCCTCCTGGTGTTTCATTGTGTTAAGAACTGGGAGTAACCCAAGGGTAGATGAGTTCAATACAGCAGGCAGTAGCCCTCTCCTGGTGCCTGGCACTCACTCCCTCCGGAAGAGAAGGCCACATTGTAGACAGGGCTGTCCTATACACAGAGAGATTTCCTCTCTGCAGAATGGATTAAGGATCATACTCAGTGATTAAGGATCATACTCAGTTCACTGAGTACTAGGTTCCCTGCTCTGGACTATTTTTGTTAAACATTGTAGACAGGGCTGTCCTATACACAGAGAGATTTTCTCTCTGCAGAATGGATTAAGGATCATACTCAGTGAACTAGGTTCCCTGCTCTGGACTATTCTTGTTAAAGATATTTTGTCTTTCCACACTGAGGTCAGGGCATGTTCAAAAAAATTCATCTACAATGACTGAGGCCACTAAGAAAGACATCCAGTTCTGACATGGCTTAGCATTGTTTGTGGCAGATCCAAAATTTTCTTTAAAAATACTATCAGTCTCAAGAAGAGCTCAACTGAACAACAGTGAAAATAATATTTCTTTGACTCTCTTTGGTAGAGGGTCAAGTACGAATTACTGTTAGTCTCAACTGAGCCTGCTCTGTTCTTCCTCTACTGAGACCATAAATACAACTTCTTTAACGTTAGTTAATTATTTATTTGTTTTCCTCTGTCTTCCCACTAAAAGAGTTCTAATCTCATATGTGGTAGTGAATGTGCTTATTAATTTTATTCTGATTAATCATTCCATTAAGTAATTCTTCCAATTCACTTTTTACACTGGGCAGTTTTTCTTTGTTTGAGTATAAATCAGTGGTTCTCAACCTTCTGGCCCTTTAAATACAGTTCCTCATGTTGTGACCCAACCATAAAATTATTTTCATTGCTACTTTATAACTGTAATGTTGCTACTGTTATGAATCGTAATGTAAATATCTGATATGCAGGATGGTCTTAGGCGACCCCTGTGAAAGGGTCGTTCGACCGCCAAAGGGGTCGCGACCCACAGGTTGAGAACCACTGGTATAAATGATCACTTTCAGAGAATAGATTGGCCTGCAAACCCATCGAGCCAGATTAAGCCATTATTCTCACCTTGAGGTTTTATGTCCTCATCCCTCCCTCCTTGACAAGGTCAGTTAGCCATCAAGTAGTTGGTGAATTAGCCATCACGCTGGTACAAGCAGGCTTTTACTTCTTCCAACCTGTTAAGTTTTTATTGCTACAAGAATAAATCATACCATCGGAGGTTCAGGGATCATCTATAAAGCTGTGTGCCTCTGTTTACCCTGTCTCCTTCTCAACCATTGTTGAATATGTGCTTCAGAGTTCAGCTGCCTTGCTCGAAGTTTCTAAGGAATTAACAGAACTCTGACAGACTTCTTAGTAGACTACCTAGAGTTGCTATAACAGGTAGTTGTGAGACTGTTATAAAGATGCATCATCTTAAAAGTTAAAGCATAAATGATATTATTTTATTACATTACAAGACTGTGTTGCAATCCACTGAGTGCCTTGTCCAAATGGCTCCTCCATGGCTGGCTTTATTAGGCATGGAGGAAATGTGTGGCTCTTAGGAAAGAACTCTAGAACACTGATGCAAAAACTATGTTATATTTCTTCTGCATTTATTTTCCATTATTTACACCTCCTTTCTTCTGTCTGCAATGAATGACCTGCATGTGTTGTTAAATGCAGTAAGACTAGGCTTTTTTCCCAGGATAGCCAACTTGTGCCCTTATTGGCAAAATTTTAGATTGTTTCAAATTTTTTTTCAAAGTGGTCTCTTCTGTTCACATTTATTTATAGAGGGAGAAAAAACACATAAGACTTAAAATAAAAAACTTTTTTCTAACAAACTAGCAACCTATAATCCTTTCTTCTGTCATTTTGAACAGGTATTCTACCTGACACTTGGTTACCTGTATTAACTATAACTGCAGGTGTTTCATACAAATCCAGAACTTATTTTTTTTATTTCAAAGCAATTAATGTTACCAACTTCCTGTAAATATTTTTATAGTTCTGAAATATCTTGTTCCTCAATTATTTATACTATGTTGCACTGCTATTAACTATAAGGGTTGCTGTATTCTAAAATATTTATATTCTTATTTTCATATGTATCATACGCTAACACAGAGATTATCATCATTTCTAATGCCTCTATCAAATCTAATTATTTCATTCTAACCATTAAGAGCACTAGATATATTTTGAGCAGCACAATTAAACTGCTTAGTACTTACTGCTTAAATACGCTGTATTATTATATCTGAAAAAGCAATATAAACACATGACTTTATTTTTCAAAATGGAAAATAAAATCCCTCAGCACGTTCCTGGTGGTAAAATGCTTAATAATGTGCTACTCTATTTCCCTCACTCCTAGTCAGTTCTGTAGTAATAAGCAGAAGCTCTTCAGAATGTACACCACACGGAAGCAGAGGTACCCAGCATCCCAGCTATTGACATGAGACTTGAGAATGCCAGCTAACCTCAGGTGCATGACCAGGTTACAGCGCCATCCTATTGAGCCCTGTTCTGAGACTCACTCTTTCTAAGGACTTCTCCACTGGGGTTTTCAACCCGCTTGTAATTTTCCTTTTTGCCTGTTGCCTGCTTTGATACTCTCTACTCTTGGGACACATTTGTCCTATTGGCAGGGTCCCGCACAGTACTGGCAGTCATCCCCTTGGCGCCTCCTTGTGGTGGAACAACTGCTGAGCTGCTGCACGCACTGGATTGTTGTGGCTCACTTGCCATATTGTGCCTGAGGCGAGCATTTGTAGAATGCTTATCTTATGAAGGGCTAAAACCCTAATTAAATATAACAATAACTACAGCATTCTAAGTCCAAGAGGATTACTGTGGGTTTACAGTGATGCCACACCATTCTCTGGCAGGAAATACCCACTAGTAGACTGCATGCTAGGCCGTTTGAGTAAATTGTACATCTGGTTCCTAGAGAGGGAAGAATTCCCTTGCAGAGCAGTTGTACAGGCTCCCCTGGGTATAGTCTTCAGCTGGGAATGTGAGACTGCATACACAGATCCTGCAGTCAATGGCCACAGCGACCCTTTGGTTACTTTCTCCAAAGAGTGACCTCTTTGTTGTTGCCCTGGGGATAATCCTTGGCATTCTTCCAAAAAAACAGTGTTACATAAATCTTCCTTTATATAAAGTCATGTTTATTGATCAACACACACACACACACACACACACACACACACACACACACAACATGGAAATAATGAAAACTTCAATGGGCCAGTGAAGAACCTATATTTTTTCATCAGTGTGTGTTTTCAATAATGGCTACCTAATCTGTTTAATAGCCATCTAATCAAGATGCTCTGTTGATTTCCAAAGAGGAAATGAAGTAGGAAAACTAATAAAACAAATGTTGCCTGGTTTAAAAGTTCTGAATTAGGATCTTATTCGTAACTTTCATAGAATTATGTCAAAAGAGAGAGTGAAAATATTGCATTTTTTTCTAATTTAGTGTGTTTAATATGTTTCTAATATGTTGAGTTCACTTTAAAAGAGTTCTTGAGAATTTTTTTAAATAGTAGACATGGGCAAATATTCATGTAATTTAGAAGGACAGAAAGCAAAACGGTACCTAGAACTCATTTATATCAACTTTAAGTGTTTTAAATGCTATTAAGATTCAGAGAATAATATTTTCACTTTCCATTTATTCTTAGAGATAATATCAAAATACTTCAAAGGAGCAATTTTTAAAATATTTTCATGGAAACAATTGTTTTTAAATATTTTGCTATTGTAAATGAGCCACAGTGGATTTGATACTTATTTGGGGTATTTGTTACTTTTTTTAGTAATTGAGATATTTTTTAAGGAAAAATTAGATTCTATATCAAATGTTTTTGTGATATATTTATCAGTTTCCTGTTCATTTAACTGACCTAGGAAAGAAATATATCTTGAAAGTTTGAAAAAATAATTTTATATTAACTAAAATGCAACCTTCTGTAGTAATTAGGATCAGTTTGTTCCAGAAAAGGTAATCGATTAGATCAAGTATAGTGAGAACACTTGTAATGATAGCCATGTCCACTTAAGCCACTCATTAATCTAAATCAAGGTGCAGAGGTAAGCGTATCTTCCTGAGCCAGATCATCATAAATTTCAATGATGGAACAGATGTGCTAACACTGAAAAGAGATTTGAAATTTTTACCAAAAAAAAAAATAAAAAAAGCTTGAGAAGAGTAGTTAGTCATTTTGGGCACTATCCCTTGAAGGATTTGTTGAAATAATTTGAAGGCTGTAGAGGACATGTAGAACCTAGCCTGAGAATAAAAAGATGCAGTTTTATGATGTTATTGTTGCTGTTATTTAATGTAATCTACCATTTAATCACACACTTATCAAGTACAGAAAAAGCCGATGACTGATGGGATTGTTTTAAAGAACTCTTGAACCCACCTGACCCCATCACAAAACTGCCCAGCCTGTTCTTTGCATGTGCCTTCAGCTAGTTGTGCTGGATTTAGCTACGTCTGCGTTTCTGAGGGGAGCTGTCAGTTGCATGGTCAATTGTTATTGTTCCCAGGACTTTCTGATCACCATAGTTCATTATTTTATTTGTTTTCATGTAAACACACATAAAACGTGGTGTCTTTTTAGAATATCATTTGTTAAGCAACTAGGCATGGAAAAATAAATGTTACTGTTTCTTGATAGCTGCAAAACACATATCCACTAAACACATTTGCTGTTGGCATGCTGCAGTTGGGGACAGTGGACGTTGCGGTAAGTGGAAAAGACCAGGCCTCCACTTCGTCTCAGATAATCCCTTTCCATGAGAACACTGCTTCACGCCCCACAAACGCTGCAGGTCTCGGCAGCTCCGCGTAGCTGCTTCAATGACTCCCCTCCAATCCAACACCCTTCATGTCTGCAGGCCCGGGAAAGTCCTGGACCTCTTACCTGATAACGGTCACCTTCTAATAAATAACACAGCAGTTTCTAAATGAAACAAGAACACAAACAAAATAGGTACACAAAGCTTCTTGCAGTTCATTTGACTCCCACAGGAATCCCTTAGCCGGGTTGTTACTGTTGTCTCCATGTGAGAGATGAAAACTCCAGAACCCAAGCCTCTTGGATTTCAGTCTGCCCTTCCCACCACATCACCCCACATCTCTTAATCAGGAAAACATGGAGATGCACTTGGATTTTTTTTTAAATAATTGCATTGAGTTCAGGGAGGAAGGGAGAGGGAGAGAGAGACAGAAACATCAATGATGAGAGAGAATCATTGATTGGCTGCCTTCTGCACGCCCTCCACTGGCAACCCGGGCATATGCCCTGACCAGGAATGAAACCATGACCTCCTGGTTCATAGGTCAACACTCAACCTCTGAGCCATGCCAGTCGGGCAGTACTTTGGATTTTATCATTGTTGTTAATGTTTCCTTTATCAACCCACAACAGTTCAATCCTAGCTGGCATCTAAGAACTGAATACCTGAACAAATATAATTTACCAGTAGCTGCCACAGCAAATCAATAAACCTGTTTAAGAGCAGGAAATTGTGTTAGTGAACATGACGTCTCATTCTGTTCATCAGTCATCACATTCATTATATGTTGGGGCTGTTGTACCTTGTGTGGTTTCATCTCACAAGAATGAGTGTCAGCATAAAAGAAGTGTGGTGTTGTGTTGGTATGTTTAATATTACGTATGCAGTGCTACCAACTGCTATGAGATTGCATGAATTTATGGATATCGTAATCTTGCCTGGAATATAAAATGCATGCAGAATGTAGATATATATGTATATGTAACTGTCTCCCTGTTTTCCTGTAGAAATGTTTAGAAATTACAAAAAGAGATGCTCCCAAATAAAAAAGTAACTTTTTTTTTAATCTCAAAAGTTGAGGTTAAAACTAAAATCTGTTTAAAAGCGATGACCAAACCAGCTCTTGGCTATTTCCAGTGTAATTGTATACAAACTACTGCACTTGATCTTAGCTCTTTCTATGATGAATCCAGAAAGGGTGTGTATACCTGTAGCATGAGATTAATGTCAAATGAATGCAAACAGATTAAACAAAACTCAGATTTTCAATAGGAGGAAAATATATTTTTATGCTCCTACTTGCTGAAAACATTTTATTTACTGAAGTATATGACCATATACCATTTCATCAAATTATTTACCCAAGTGGCATGGAAGAAACTGCTTGAAATGGAATAATCGTGCCTCTGTTGTCCACAGTCAGAAGCTAAGTTTTAAGGAGCGGGTGCGCATGGCTAGCCCACGAGGCCAGAGTATTAAGAGCAGACAAGCCTCGATAGGTGACAGGAGGTCCCCGAGCACCGACATCACAGCCGAGGGCAGCCCCACCAAAGTGCAGAAGAGCTGGAGCTTCAACGACCGAACCCGCTTCCGGCCCTCGCTGCGCCTCAAAAGTTCTCAGCCCAAACCCATGGTAGACGGTAAGCGCTGCTTTTCCATAACCATTTTCAATCTGATAGGCTACAGTGAGTGAGATTATGAAGTAATTCATTCTCCTCGGCACCACTTGGAGATAGAAGGAAACAACCTCCGGGAAAGAATCGCTCGTTTGTTTTATTGGAAATTTAGTCCTTGCCTCGGGCAAATGTACGAAACCTACGTTTACTTTGGGAAGCAACTTTGGCAGCTAAATCTCAGTTTCAAAGAAATCCAACAAAATGTTGTTAATCCTGCACTCATACCTACAGCACATTATCATTTATTAGACGAGGTCTGTACCAAGATCAACGTGACTGTCCTTTTGATGTGTAGGTTATGTCTGACGAGCAGAGGCCCAGCCTCCAAAGCAGACCTGTGACGGTCTGGAAACCCGCTGAGAAGGGTAACAGCCCCTTTCCAGGCAACAGTGAAGGTGCTGTTCTCCCGTCTGCTGTGCTCCGTTCGCCACTAAATCAGAGGCCACCGCTTATCTTCCTTAGAAAGATCCCGTTGAAAGTTCCTATCTAATGATAAGTGGCATTCAAGTCCTTCTCCCAAGAGGAATTAACCTATTTTATTTATCACACTACATGTCAGACATTTACTTGCCAGCACATTTTATCGAGTGCCACATAATTTTTGTGTTTATGAAAGAAAACATTTTTTTTTTCATTTAAGATTAGCTTGGCTTTCCTTTGAAGTGTGCCCCCTGGGATCTCTAATACCGGGCAAGGAACCAAAATCAAATGGCATCTTCCATTAATGCATGAAAACTGCGAAGGCTATCAGTCCTTCTGGTCTCATTCCCTAGCATAACCTGTATTTTCCCAGGCCCTGAAAGCCCGAGGGACAAAATTCACAGCCAGGGGTCATCTCAGTGACCTCAGGCTCCCTGCAGTGAAATCCCTCAAACTTCAGCCCATGGGTCCCTCCCAGCCCATTCATAGATCCTTGGGGACGAGAGTGAGCAACGTGAGTCCCTCTTCCCACTTCGTTCTCCACAATCCCATGGATGCCACGCCCTCCCAGGAGAAGCCTAGCAGCTGACCCAATGTGGCCCCTCCTGGCGGGGCTTGCAGCTCCCATCCCAGCTGCAGGGTGCTGGTCCTACCAAGCTTCCCGCCACCTGTCACTTTGCTAAGGTAGGAAATGTCCCTCCACCAGCCCCGGACACTCCTCCATCAGGGAGTGTGCTGAGGCCCTGGCAACACAGATTTTCAGTGTCCCCTGGTTTCCACACTCAACTCCCTAGGCATTTGGCTGAAAGCCCATGAACAGCTGAGTCAAGAGTTACCAGTTACAGGGCTTTATGTTGCTCTCAAAATAGGCTTTCTGAATATAAATGAATGTCTCATTTCTGGAAGGCAATTTGGCAACATATATCAAAAGCCTTTACATATGCCTAAGCTTGGACACACCCCACCCACCAATTCCATTTCTAGGATATAGTTGATGCACTGAAATGATATCAGACATTAGAAGTGATGCTATAAATTCAAAATTATTGACATGGAAAGATGATCACAAAAAGTAAATGATTCCATTTTCATGTGTGTGTGTATGTGTGTGTGTGTAAATTTAAGTATTTATAGTAAAGTCTGGAAAGATTGGCTATATATGAAGTTACCTCTAAGTGGTGCAATCATAGTTATATTTTATTTCTTCATTTTGTTCACCTGTATTTCCACCAAACCCCTCTCCTTACGTTGATTTCCCCCCCAAGTGGAAGGAACACCAGCTCTAATAGTGGAAGATCAGCGTTCTTGAATGTAGACACAGATTGTCTAATGAGGTTTAACAGTTCCTAGAACAAATAGAGCTGCCCTATTAGGCTTTACGGCTGCCATAACAAAGTACCACAGACTAGATGGCTTAAACAAAAGCAATGTATTTTTCCCCTTCTGCAGGCTACAAGTCTGAAATCCCCTTGGCTTATAGATGGCCACCTTCTCCGTGTCTTCACTTTATCTTCCCTCTATGTCCAGATTTCCTCCTTTTATGTGGACACCAGTCCTATTGGATTAGGGATCATGCAAATGCCCTCATTTTAACCTAATTATCTCTTTAAATACCCTATCTCCAAATAGGTTGGCATTCTGAGGTACTGGGGATTAGAATGCAACCTATGAATTTTGATGGGATACAATTCAGCCCATAACAGAGCCCCAATTCACCACATCACAGCATCCCAGGGCAAGCTGGGGTGTGCCTACATCTTCAGGCCTCGCCCTGGCTTCACGCTATGCTGGAAGAATAAATTAGCCCCAATGGGTTCATACCCTTTGTGAATGTGGGCTTCAAAAAACATTCGACTGTGTGCTATGAGGTCCTTAGGGTGAGCTGAGCACATCTAAATATAAAATTTATAGAACCTGGATTCTGAATATGAAAAATGAATTTTACTTGTATGTTTGGCCAGAGGAAAAGCATTTTTCATGGACTCCAAGAGTCGACACTATTCATCACAGTACTTTCAGTTATGGCAAAGATGTCTCAGAGTTCAGACAGACAGAAACAGAAGTCCTACTCTCTACCGGATCTCAAATCGGAACGGTCTCTGCCATCCATTTTCTGCATCATCCCATACAAGTGCAGTTCTGTTTCGTTAGAAAGGAATTGCTTTCTCTGGTTGATGTCCTGCTCGATTGGTTCTGAGTTCCCCAAGTGACAGGAGGCCTGACCGCTGTTCTGTTCAAGTAGCTTTGTTGGCTGCCCACCTGGAAGAGATCATGACTCCTGACGCCTCATTGCATCCAACAGTCCAGAATCTTTACCTCTGCCTTAACTCAAAGTTAGGTCTTAGGGAAACAGAAGTTCTCTTTTTATTTTTAAAAAAAAAACCCTGAAGCAGCTTTCATTGAAGTGCACTTTACTCATGAATTATGCATTTTTATTTATGGTGCCTGTCCAGGTTTTAAGTATTTCTAAAATCCACCTATTACTCATAGAAAATAATACATAACACTATTGCCAACCCCCAAATACAAGTTGGGGAAAAAGTAGGTTGACAGTTGTGCAGATAGAAAATAATACAATAGTTAATAAATAATAATCAGAGAATAAACTCTGTTTCACATACTCACAACTGTAAACTTTCATTTACCCCACCCTGTATTTCAATTCTATATGCTCACTTGCTTCTTGGGTTCTCTTCTTCCACTTCTCTCTTTCCTTTACATATTGTAGGCATTTCATTGCCCATTAACAGCTCTGGCAGGGTGGATGCATAGCAGAAAGAATTATGGAAATTCAGGTTGACCTTTAAGTTAATAACTAAGTTACATTTGGAAAATAATGGGCCTGTAACTGAAAGATACTATAATAGGGAAAAAAGAAATTTAGAGTTAATCTGTAAATGTTAATAATTCCTGTGAAATCTAAAACCCTTTACTGCAGCCCTGACCAGTTTGGCTCAGTGGATAGAGCATTGCCCTGCAGACTGAGGTGTCCTGGGTTTGATTCCGGTCAAGGGCGCATACCCAGGTTGTAGGCTCAGTCCCCAGTAGGGGGCATGCAGGAGGCAGCCCATCAATGATTCACTCTCATCATTGATGTTTCTATCTCTCTCTCCCTCTCCCTTCCTTTTGGAAATCAATAAAAATATATTTTAAAAAATAAAAATAAAACCCTTTACTGCAGATAGTATTATTTTTATAATTTAATGGCTCTTACAAAAGGTTATTAAGTATCCCATGCTGCTTTTCTTTGCTATAAATATCTATGAAATTTATGTATTATACTTAAAGGGGCTACAATTGTCTCCTAATATTCCACATCCATATATACCAGAGAAGTGGAAAATAATTGATGTTAAAGCCAGAAATTTACAAATGGCAAAAAGAAGTTCTGGCTTGTGTGGCTCAGTTGGCTGGAGCATCGCCATATACACTGAAAAGTTGCAGGTTCGATTCCAGGTCAGGGCACATACCCAGGTTGTGGGTTCTATCCCCAATCTGGGCGTGTATAGGAAGCAATGGATGGATGTTTCTCTTTCACATCCTTGTCTCTGTCTCTATCTCTCTCTCTCTCTCTCTCTCTCTCTCTCTCTCAAATCAATTTAAAAAATAAAAACACAAATGGCAAAAAGGAAGGAGTAAACTATAAAGGACTAGTGTGGTATTGCCATAGCAAATTTATTTTGATCAATATGATGTGAATAGTATTTTCAGTTTATAAATCCAATAATATGAGAGAGGAATGTTTCATTAGTTAATCAATAGTAGTTAAGCCCCTTCATATAATTTTTTAATTAGGTAGGAAATGACTATTTTAGATTCCACAGGTAAATGTGATCGTGTAGCTTTTTCTTTCTGTGTCTGGCTTATTTCACTTAGCATAGTGTCCTCTAGTTTCACCCATGTTGTTGCAAATGGCAGGATGTCTTTGCTTTTTAAGAATGAATAATATTCCATTGTATAATTATACCATAATTTCATTTCACTATATATATGTATATCAAGTCATCATGTTGTACAATTTAAACATACAATTTTATTTTAAAAATAAAAGAAATTAGGTAGGAAAAATGATAAAAGTAACATTTATTGGATCCTTCTCTGTGGTGGGCATTGTTCTAAATGCTTTACTTCTATTATTTAATTTAATCCTTTCAACACCTCAATAAAGTCATCCCCATTTTATGGTTGAGGAACCTGAGACTTGAAGCTAAGACACTTGCCCAAAGTCTAACAGATTGAAGTAAGTGAGTCGCAATACACACCCACGCAGTCTATTTTCATAGCCCTCCTGGAGGACACAGTCTCAGATGTGCTCCCAGATGTCATATCAATTTCCCTTTAAGCATCTTTAATATCTTCTTTTTTCCTGCGGCATACTCCTGCCTGCTTTCACTCTTCCATCTTCAGTTGGTCAGATCCTCTTCCCCTATAACCATTTGACCTTGCCACTAACCCATCCCATTTTTCTCCCAATCTCTGCTGCCAAACCTCTGAACTACATCACTTTCAAAGACTGCCAGAGCTAGAAGATTAGGCAAATTGGG